CCTCTCCGACACACACACATAATAAATCAGTCATAAGTCATTAAAGCAAGCAGGAACACACTCACTTATTAATTACATCAGTCATTTTGTCAACGGCACATCCGTTGAAAAGCTACCAAGAATGATCAGAGACTAAAAAGCAGAGAAACTTTTACTTAGCACTCAGAACAGATGAAGCAGAGGTTAACTCTCAAAGGCGCACAGACACAAGACAATGCTACAGGAATCCTCGTGTCCAAACTCAAGCCATGTGTTCAATTATCATCAGCCCCAAATGATCCCCATTAATGCTTTAACTCTTTCTTTCACATCTCAGTCTTAGCCATCCATCCTGTTTCTGCTCTCGTCCATCCCTATAATTCACGTCTGTGCGGTTACTTACTTCCCTTTCTCACTCTCTTCCTCCCTCCCCTCCCCTCACCTCTCCCTCCCTCTCTCCCTGACTTTTAACCAGCGTGAAGAGGCAGCCATGCATTCAACCATCAGACAGGCTAACATGGTCTGCCCTCACACACGCACACACACACACACACACACACATCCAGAGCATATTGTTCCTCAAGTGTAGCAAGAATGCAGTGTTCACTGAAACAAACATCCAGCCTAGCAGGGGATCTTTTTGTGGTTTAGTTTGATTCCTAATACTTGCAAATAAAGCTTACTTGTATACAGGCAGATCACACTGAAGAAACTCACTCTGTTAGTTGTCGTTTGACTCCAGAAAATACCAAATAATCCACCAGAACATTTCTATAATCAGCTGCAACAACATTTTTTAAAAAGGCTACATTCTCAGTGTCATCTGTCTTTTAGGGAAATATGAAATATCTCCCCTCCAATAAAGAGAATCTTTTGGGACTACAAGCTTCATATTTGGTAATTGAAATCCTTTAATATCTACCGAGCCATATAACTGACATTTACAGTGACATTTTACATGGTTTATCTGCTTTTTAACTGTCTGGCAGATTAATTGTGTTCACACATGAGTACAGAGCAGTGCACCAGTGACAGCCCAGCGAAGATGATGGTCCTGACCGGGTCCCTGATGGGGGATCCCATTGCTCTCTTCTCATCCAACAATCCCACTGAGCATGTCAATATGAAACACAATCCCCCCCTCTCACCTCCCTCCCCACACTGGGGCCAAGCAAGGCAATCCCTCCCGTTAGAGACAAGACAGGCTTATATTGATAGGATGAGTCTGCGTAACTGCTGCATCTGTGCGCAAAAAAAAAAAAAAAAAAAAAGACGCATGGCGTGGGTATGGAGAAAAGTGTAAATTAGACTAAATCAAGTCTCTCAACAATAAAACACATTTTCACTATATTGCGCTCAATGTAAGCGTGATTTACTACACGGCTTGTGTTGTATGTGGGCTGAGGGAGAGCGGGCCGTAAAGCATTGTTTACCCAACTTTAAAAAATCCCCCGCTTTGTAAATGTTGTCAGATGGCCGATGCCAGTGTCTTTCAGCTTAATACTACCTATATTAAATAGTTTAAATATTTCATAAGGGCGGGTTTTTTTAGAGCGAGGGAGGGGAAATCGTTAGCTGCGGTAAAGTTTCATTAACTGGTCCCCATTTCGCTGCGAGGCAAACTCATCTCCTCTTATTGTAATAAAACAATCTCTCTCTTTCTCTTGGTGCCGCTCTCCACTCATCTCCCCTCTCTCTCTCCCTCCGCCGCCTCTCTCCTTCTCTTTTACATCATAATAATACACTACATCCCCTTTAAATGCACTATTACTTACCGCTGCCTTTTCATATTGTAACATCACGGGCACTTTAGCGACAATATAAAAGCGTGTCATTCATTATTCAGAAGCAGCCGGCCTCGTCCCCCCTTTTAAAAAGTCAGGCGCGCTGCTGAAATTGATAACGGCGAAGAGACGCGCAATAAAAACGCAGCCCCCGGGTACCGAGCTGCAGCCCAGACCCCCGATTATGCAGATCAAGTGGTAATTTCTCAAACAAATCGCACTCTTTCACTCTTTTGTTGTCGTTTCTTTTTGGACTTTTGGAATCAGGGTGTCAGCTTTCATATTGCCTTTGGAGAAAAAAAGAAAAAAAGAAAAAAAGAGGATTGATGTGTGCCTTAATTGTTCATGTGGGTTGTAGGTTTTTTTTCCAAAGACAGCACCTAAATATTTTGGCCTCAACGAGATAACCTCAAGGCTGCTTTTTAATGGACTCTTGGCATTTTTTTTTTTTTTTTTGGGAGGGGGGGTACATTTTCTGATGTAACCATGAAGCAATGACGCTCACAGCATCAATAAATTCATAAAAGCTGGCAGGAGGACGGCTGAGGCTTCTCCTGGTGTGTGTGTTTTTGGATAACCGGTGTCACGGTGGTCAGAGCTAATGTGTCATAAGCACTCATAATCATTGGATTACAACAGATTACTAACACCTAACATCTGCAACGAGTGGGACCCCTTCTGCTCCACACAGGCTTGGAGGGACTGCCTTCACTCCGCGTTGTGGAGTCTGGATAAACGCAAAAAAAATTATTAATTTTCATGAATCAGTTATTCAGCAGTTACTGTGGTCCAGGTGTGAGTCAGCCTATAAAAAAGAAAAAAGAAAGAAAGTGGTCGTGCAATGAAGTGGAGCTGGATACGTGTTGTTTTCTATTCAGAACTTCGCCATAAAAGAAATTATTTTTGCAAATGTCATCAAGACAAACATAAAAATGTCTGAAATGATGACAGCTATAACAGACCAATTCTCCCCCATCAAAAGCCACCGGTGAGCTCACATATGGCGGGGTGAAGCAGCCAACACTCAGAGTCTGTCCATATTGCCAAACAAACACCTCGGGCCTTGTCCCATCTCATATTGCTTCATAAGACTTTATTGTGAGAAGGCGAAGTGTGGCTCCTTTTTAAAATATATATTACAAGTACAACACTATCTTTGCATTTCCATTTGATTTTTCTAACTCGTGACCTCACCAATTGGAATTCAACAATTGCAATTGTCTCACAATAAGACTTTTCATGCAGTTTAACATATACTATCAATAAATTCCCACTGCAGTTTCTTAAATAATTGATTGTGTTTACAAAAACACTAATGCTCTGACAATTATAGCAAATACCCTGCTTTTTTTTTCCCCCTCCAAGAACACGTTAAGCATAAAATAAAAATAAATAATTTACATAATATAATGTAGACATTAAACCACGCGAATTCAAAAACGGTGATTAATTAAAAGGTTGAGGGGGCGAAACGCCAACGAATCCAAACCCCAGTGTCAATAAATGAATACGTTGGATACTAGTTCGTTAAAGTACTGTAATGTGATAGCTCTAAAAAGCCACCTGCCGCATCTAAACCCGACGCGCATTTGTCTGTCCATGAGACAAGTTAGTGAAAATGAGATTACCCGGTCACTTTGGGCGCCTGTTACATTGAATCTGAGCGGTTAGCAGCTTCCAGAGCCCGGACACTTTATCTGAAGTAGCCCGTGGCTTTCCCTTGTCAGGTCATTTAATGTGGCACTGGCTAGCAGGAACAAATAAGGCCACGTAATGCTTTGCCAAGCTCAATAGGTGCTGCTGATTCTGCCAATGTTCAATAAGGCTGCTGTCTTTTTATTTTAAAGAGCGACGTGATGGCTGTCGTGTCATGAATTAGCTGTGCGTAATTACGCACCGGGTTGCTATTAAGAAGGATTTATAATGTGTTTTTTGGATTTCACAAGCTCGTGTTTCTTGAAATATTTAATTAAAAACGGTTGAAATTGATCTTTAGAAGTTAATATTTTGCCATTATTTTTTTCTATACCAACCATACAAACTAACAAAACCTTACATGTCTCTTAACCTCCAAGAACATCACTATGATTGCTCTGCGTTACGATTGTAAATTTCATGCATCATGAACACTAAGAAACAAATTTATTCAGTCGAGTTTTTACATTAGAGTCCAACATTGTGCAAGCGAAAATCGAAGACATGTATTTAAAAATAGATCTTAGAATCTGATTATAAAGCAATGACAAAGTGAGGGATTCAAGTTTAAAAGAATATAAACTGAGGCCAATATTTCTTATTATTTGTCTCCTTTATAATATAACCACGCAAAAACAGTCGACATGCTATAAAGCACTTTTTAGTAGCTTTTAACTTGTTCTCGTATTATTTCTGCACATTCCACATGTGACCAATGATAAAGATTGAAGAGGTGACAGCAAAAGGACAAATGATGAGCTCTTTGTGTCTCGTCTGAGAAGTGGGGATGGGCAGCAGCATCACATCGTCAAACTCCAAGTTATGTAAAAAGTTTTTACATCTGATATTATTTCACGACAAAACTTATAAACCTGCCTATTCTGAGAGTATTTCTGGATGTAAGCAGAACGCTGACAGACGACTGACAAAATGTAATTTAGGTGAAATAATAAAATTTATCGCCAAAAAGCAGAGAACCCTGGTCTTCCTCCCTGGTCCGATTTTTTTCAATATGCCATTTAAATGTTCATGGAGTTATGCTTCGCTTCTTACTCTCTATTAGAATTACAGCAACGTCAAATGAAATAGTCACTCACGGGGCATGAAAACGCCATATCTTAACAAATATATATCAAACACGTTGATGCCCGTGGTTATGGGAAATCTTGATTATTGTGCCAAATCGTGGGCCTACCCCCACTGACATTCAATCAGTCATTCCGGTGCCAGCCAATGAAAGGTGGAGAGGGATGGAGGAGGACGGAGCTGCTAGACGGAGCGTTTTGACGCGCTGAGAGGAGGACAGAGCGTCACATCTCTCCAAACGCCCATCAAACTTTCACCACAGCCTGTAGAGAAGACTCAGTCCTCTGAAAGAGGCCTGTTAGAGACAACGAGGACGCGCTGGATTCTGACCATACGGCAGGACAGCGATGGAGACACTTCTGATGATGACTTTTGGTACAGTTTGACCCTACTCTGAATCCCCCCCCTGAAAACACCTTGTTCAGTTTTCTTGTCCTTTTTGCGAAAGAGCGAGGGATGGAGCAAGCACCCAGCGCGCCGAGCCCTCCTCCAAAACCGGCCCAACACGAGCCCATCAGCTTCGGCATCGACCAGATTCTGGGAGCCGGTACGGAGCCGGAGAACGTGCGCACGGCTGGCAGACAAAGTGGATCCGATTTAAGCAACGGGGACGGTTATTACAGTTTAGGAAGCCCGGCTGGGGCCAACGCGTCCTCGTACACCGCGCTTTCTATCTCCCTCTCCGGTATAATGCCTCCGGTGGAGGCTTCAGGTTCGTACGGAGAGAGCAGGAGTCTGGGCAGCCGAGGAGTGATTCGAGTTCCTGCTCACAGACCCGTGGCAGCCCCGGGACCCCCGGCCCCCGTCCAGAGCGCCGTTCCTGGGTTTGGGGGATTGTGCTTCCCCTGGATAGGAAACAGGTTCGCCAAGGACAGAATATCAGGTAGGCCAGCTGTTAGACCTAATGAGTTCCCCTCATTAATATTTTATTATGTTTAAAACCATAGTAATGGCTGCTGGAGCATTGAAAAGCAAACTCTTGTGCCAAATATTTGTCAAAGCTATTCACAGCCAACTAAAATGTTTTCTCCTTAATTATCAAAACGTCAGAAAACATTCAACACGCGGAGAAAAAGGCTTTTTTAAAATAATGGAATATCAGACATTTACAGTCCGCTGCTTGTGAGCGCGTTGCTGATTTCACTTCAGGAGTTTAATATTTAATTTCTAACACTTGTGGTTCACGCAGACAGATACTTTATGGTGTCAAATCAAACAGCAAAAACATGGTCTTGAGGCAATTTACATCTCTAGTAAAATAAATAAATATATATATATAAAAACAAAAGTGATGTTTTGTGTTAATTTGAAGATAAATAAGAATAATCTGACTATTAATCTGTAAAATGATTTATTTTAGAAGTCATAAGGAAAAGGGAAATGTGGTTATGAAAAAATAATAATTAAAAAAACCTGCAATAAGTTCTCTGTATTTACCAGAGGTGAAGATGAAGCGTTTTAAAGTTGAAACATTTGATCACGCAGCCTGTTTCATTGAAGATTAATAGAAGCCTCTATTAGCAAAGGCCTGTAACACAGCAGGGAACATATAAGAAGATATGGAGTAAATAGGCCAAAGGGCCTGCTGACCTTTCTGTAATTACCAGAAATGTACCTGTAAACGTCGAAACAACGTTAGTATTTATTAATTCTCTGTTTGGAATACTTTGGTTCGACTCTTCTTCCACAACAAATATCCTCTCACATATCTCACATGTGGCCCTCCATGAACAGGGGACTGTTGTCAAACAGGGCAGATATATCTGAGACATATGGCCTTGAATTTCCATACAGAGTGAGGGCTGAATTGGTGTGTTTGGTGCTGCGTAAGATCTTTTCTCACACTTACCGGTGTATCCATGTCTCTCCTCCCTGCAGCGGCTCTGGTGCCGTTCGCCGTTACGCGGCGGATAGGACACCCGTACCAGAACCGGACGCCTCCCAAACGGAAAAAGCCTCGAACATCCTTCTCCAGAGTTCAGATCTGCGAGCTGGAGAAACGCTTCCACCGGCAGAAGTATCTGGCCAGCGCCGAGCGGGCAGCTCTGGCAAAGAGTCTGAAAATGACGGACGCGCAGGTTAAAACCTGGTTTCAGAACCGCAGGACCAAGTGGAGGTTGGTATGGAAAGTTCTATTCCAATCTGTCACCAGTAATTCAGAACATTGCACTCAGAAAAACTGAGAAACGGTAGCTTTCTTCTAGGAAGAGTTCCATCTGTTTAAAACACACACTTTTCCAAAAAAAATCAAACTTTCCTCCTTAGCAGATGACCCTGCGCGTAATTTCCTGTTAAATGACCCCATTAACACGGAAGAACAACAAAAAACACAAACTAAAATACAATTTTAAAAAATGCGAGCAGCAGAAAAATAAAATTTAAAACCAAATTGTAGTTTTATTCAGCATTTGTTGGCGTTTTCCCTTTTCCCCTGAAATATAAAGACATTTTAGCTCTAAACTCGACAATTTGTATAAATTTAAGCCAGAATTTATTTTCTTTAAAAACCTCCAAAATTTAGCATGAATAAAAAAATACGTCTCATCAAAAGTATCTTTAATTTTGTTTATTTTTATCCCTCACACACATCCAACCTTATCTTTGCATCGCTCTATCCATCCCTCCTCATGCCTAGAATTTACCGCTGCTGCTGGTCCATGCAGCCTACAATCATTTGAAAATTTCTACACTCTTTTTTTTTCCACCACTGTCTTTTCTTCGTACATAACTCGTGTTTTTATTCATCTGTTTAGAAATTGTATTTTTTTTCCCCTCCTGTCATCTTTCAGGAGACAGACAGCCGAGGAGAGGGAGGCGGAGCGTCAGCAGGCCAATCGCCTCATCCTGCAGCTACAGCAGTCCGCCCTCCAGAAGTCCCTCAGCGAATCAGCGGTGTCGGATCCACTGTGCGCCCATAACTCCTCCCTGTACGCGCTGCAGAACCTCCAACCCTGGGCCGAGGACAGGGAATAGAGACCGGACACCACGCGGTAACCACTGAGCATCCTCCATGATCCCTGGGAGGATAAATCAGTTAAATTAGGCCTACAAAAGGACAGTGGGACTTACTTTGATCCTAGTTGTGGAGAAGAAGAAGAAGAAAAAAAAAAGTGTGACCACAGAAACTGAAGAATGGATCACACCTATTTGAGTGGATGGTTGTGAAAGTGGACCTGAAATGATGGTGAGTGAAGCCATCAGAAACTTTGTTGGACCAAAATTTTTGCAGCTCTGGAACAGCAGGAGTTTTCAAATGCAAAAAGGAAGCTGTGTTTAAAAAAAAAATATTGTCACCCTGTTATTGTTCACTTATGCTTGTACACTTATTCTGTTTATTAGAATAAGAGGAGAAAGAATTGTACCCTATAGACCTGATGGAGGTCATTAATTCTCCACAGTGAGACACAAGATTCAGTGTTTTGTGAAGGTGTTTTCTCTCACGCAACCATCTCCTTATTCTGAAACAGACTTGGCTCTGTTTTTTTGTTTGTTTGTTTTTAAAGGGGAGGCACACCAGCTAAATAAAGGCAACAGCTACACCTCAACACCCGTACAACTTGCATTAAAATGTGTTTATAAGATTTAAATAAATCTCCTGCTCTGTTTTATGAAAATAGAAAACAAAAACAAACAGGCAGATAAAAGATGATGTAGAGATTTTGTTAAATATAATTTTGCCTTTAGATCTTATGAATAAATGTACTCACTCCAAGTACAGTACATACACAGGTATGTTACACCACCTTGGCCCCTACACGATGACACCCAAATGTTACACTATTATGGGGGAAATGCTATTGTGAGCAGTAATAAAAGAAAAACAGATATCAGGATTAGTGAGGAGAGATGAAGAAAATATGAAACAGGCTGTAAGTTGGGTAATAAAGGGAGTGATGCATGTTCAGTGACGGTGGTGAAGTTTTTTCATATGCACATTATCATGCTTTATTTGTGGGCCGCGTCCTTTGGGATCGAGGCACTTTTTGTACTTTCATTGTATATGTGTAAATAACAGCATAAACTGTTCATGTGACCCCTTTTGCTTATACTCTTTATGATGCACCATAAAAAAAAAATATTTTAATGTTTTTAAACACACCATTATTATAAGGTATATAAATGGAAGAAAGAAAAAAAATGTATGGAGCGACAAGGTGAAAAAGAATAGCAGATAACGGTTAATTTTTATTTCTTGAAAAGTTTATTGATAAATATAATGATTTTATACAATATTTCAATACACACATTATTTCATTCTGACAGTTTTAAGTGTCTGTCTGTATGCCTGTCTGTCTGTCTGTCTGTCCGTCTTCCTGTCTGTCAGTCTGTCTAGAAGTAGGTCTGGGTACATTTAAGAGCTGCAACACATCTTAGCAATGTTTTATTTTTTTTTCTACATTATTGGTAGCACAGTGAGTGGGCGTGACAGCAAATCATTTATTAATCTGTATTTTTGTCCTGCTCAATCTTCAAAAACAATGGCTCTTGTTTAAAACATGGCTTCCATTCCTCCAGAATCAGTGAAAAGGTCTTTACTCTCGTCTCCCGTGTTATTTCTTTCGCCTTTATCTCCCTCCTTTCCCTCACAGTGAAATGTTGGTCGCTCCGAGTCAACGTTTTTTTTTTAACAGACAGAGGCGAAGACGAAACTCTCCTCTCTGATGTCAACAAGATGAAGCTGCATGCTAGAATAAATGACACTTTAATATTCAGGCTAACAGGACCTTTACGTCAGGACACCACACACACACACACACACACACACAAACACATGCACGGCCCCGTATTGTTCTCCATCTGTATGCAGGCAAACCTCGACATGGGCTCTTTATCTAACAATGAGTGTCAGGTAGAATAGTTACAGAGTTAAATCCAATCGGACAGAAAGACAGACAGGTAGTCAGAAGCGCAGACGGACACAGAATGAATCCAGACGGTGAGAAGAAGCCACAGATACAACAGTTAAATATCTACAGTCAAGTCGTTACAACACTCAGACACTGATCGACAACACTGGAACACACAGGAGGTGCCAACAAGGCTCTTGAAGACTGTTGCAAGCTGCCACGAAACGCACGACTGTCGCAAGCAGGCTGAGTTCAGCTCAGCAAACCGTTACTGGCCTGGTTCGGAATTTGACTGAAAACAGATGAGGTGACTCTGTGAGATGCTGACTCGGAGCTGGACTCTCAAATTTGACCAGTTAGCAAGGAGTTGGAGTATATTGCCACCAAGTTTTTATGGCACACACACTAAATATGCTGTAGGCCTCTGTCTTAGCATGCTTCACAATATTGCTCATGTTCGTTGTGTTGAATTCATGATGAAAACAGCTATTATTTAAGCTTCTAATGACCGCACTGTGCGCTTGGTTGATCTCACTGCTAAGCTGCTTTTTAGGTATTTCAGTCCCGCTTGAAAACAAAACGTGAGGAAGGAAGTATTTACATAGTGGCGTGAAGTACACAACAGCAACAAACGAGGGAAGATGAAGACAAGGTAAATGGTCACACAAAGGTCAAACGAAGTCTAAAGGACTTCTTCCAAAAACCAGTGATGGTTTGTCGCCATAGATTTGTTACAGTAAGATGCCCTCCCGGACAGTTTTTGTGGCAAACTGTCGCACCCGAAGTGACAAGCTCCTTGTTTCTCCTTCTCTCACAAGTTAAGCTGTTCCCTTTTTTCTTGCAAATTCACATTCGCCTCTCCTTCTCTTTCTTCTTCTTTGTTGTGGTCTCTGTGCTTTCGTCTGTTGCACCGTCTCAATCGTGTTTCTCGACTAGATGACATTTTCAAAGAGCTGTAGAGACCTCATGATGTTTTCGTCCTGTGCAAAGAAGAAAGTAGATTAAGAAGTTGACTGAGAGGAGAAAGTCTTCCAACAATCACCTTTTAATTCATTTTACTGTCCACCAGGGGGCAGTGAATGGCCATAAAATGTTAATCTCCTCGCAAACAAACTCACTGATAAAACATGATAGCAAAGACCATAATTAATAGAGAGTATAGTAAGACCTGCAAAAGTGGGAAGCCTTTAGTAAATAGTAAAACTATTTTGATTGTGGTGATTCTTTTGTGAAGACATTTTGACTCGTCACTGTTGAAGTATACGTGACACTGAGACCTTTCAATTGGTATTCAGCCATTACTGATGTTGTTATTTATACCCCTGCTTTTCCTATGGTGCCATCTCAAATTATCCTCAGTGAAAAGAAGATTTAGTAAAGTTATGTTGATCCTGAGGATTAATTAAGACAGAACAGAAGATTAGAAGAAAAACTGAGGTACCTCTTGACAAGAAAGGATGAATTCATCAAGAGTGACCACACCGTCTCTGTTTTTGTCCATTTTCTGTAGACAGAAGTGTACATTAAGTCAAGGCAGATGTGTCATTGAAATGCAATTTGTAAATAAACATCTAAAATATGGACACTTCACTAAGATCAGTAGCCTATCCAGTGAGATCACTATCACTGTGTTAGTTCTTCCAACTCATTTGTTACTCAGCCGGTTCCTTAAATTCTTCTTGCAAGTTTTTGTTTGTTTGTTTGTTTTTACTTTGGTTTGCTCTTAACCCATGATGGATACAGCTGCTCAAGTGGATTTATTTGTTTCCTGCTGTTGCAATTTCTAGAAATTTTGCAGTGTTCAACAGATGCATCCTTGTTCGGCAAGTCGCCTGGGTTTGTGCTGTTTTTGTTCTGTTACACATGAATTAAAGAAAATCAGACGTTGGTACCTGAAAAAAGGCATCCACATGCTGTTTGGGTGCATCAGTTTTCAACACAGGGTAAGTGTACTTCCCCATCATGTCATATATTGCTCTGACGATGTCCGTCATCTCCTGCAGAACACAGGCACAATGAGACACCATTTATGAAAACCCCCAGTGTGTTACAGACACAGGAACACAAACCTCTTTGTTGATGTAGCCGTCTCTGTTGATATCGTAGAGGTTGAAGGTCCACTGGAGCTTCTCGGTGACGGAGCCTCTCAGCAGGATGGACAGAGCTGTTACAAAGTCCTGATGGAGAGAGAAAGAGCAAGAACAGCAAACTGAAAACAAGAAGTGGCAGCTCGTCATCTTTAAAAGCTGAGTATCAGGAAGTAGAGACAGGTGAGAATCAAACAAACCTCAAACTTTATGGATCCTGTGTGTCCTGCGTCAAATGCATTGAACAGGTAGTGCGCGTAGGTGCTGGCGTCTGCAGGGGAAGAAGAAAAAAAAGCTGGTTCATACACTCTGTCAGAAACAATACCGATGCAGACATCACACCACACACGCTCTCTTCACCTCCATGTGGGAAGAACTGGGAGTATATTTGCTTGAAGGTTTCCTCGTTTACAATGCCACTTGGACACTCCTGGAAAGAGATGCACAAAAAAGAGGGAGCGTATGAGAAGAATGTAAAAACCAGAGAGGCCTGCAGGTACAGGTCAGACAGAGATGATCAGAGTCTGCTGGGTTTAACAGATGGAGGCTTTAATCAAAGTACTTACACAAGAGTTGATGGGAGACTGTGTGAGAGGCAAAACCTGTATGTCATAAACCTTTAAGAGTTAAAGGGTCAAATTAAAGCTGGCATTTGACATAAAATATACCTGTCTAATTAATGCCTATCACCAAAAGTACAAGAAACTGCAGTTGCAACTTCTGTCCCTCTGTTCAGGGTGGCACTACTGAGTGTGGTTTTTTGCAGAGAGCTGTAACTTAAATCTTCCATCTGTCCTTTTGATATATCTGTCTCTATTATAATTCCTAATGGTAACTTTAAAGCAGACTCATAGTATGATCTGTCCTGAAATCAAACAATAATGGCAGAGTTACAATAAATGCAAGATAACATCACTAAATACAGCTAAATCCACAGTAATACAGAGGATTGGGAAACTGGAATCTACAGGTCATGTACGTACAGTAAGGTTTCACAAATCTACTGCAGGTAACTGTACACAATATAAGTATGGCCTATTTACATTCCAGTGAATATAATTTATCATCAAATTAAGGTGTTTAATTGGAGAGACATACAGTGCACATGTTACTGTAACAGGCAACACTGTGGATGGTTCCCGGGGCTGAAAGGAAATCAGACTGACCAGAAGGAACAAAAGAAATGCAAAAAGATTATATGCTTTTATACTGCAGCAGCTATTGAACATTTGCTCAGTATGGAGGAAGGTTTTGTACTTTTGAAGATTTTTTGGTGACAATCCTGATTCACAGCAAAGGCCTGGATGACAGAATTTGCTTATGAACCTATGCAAAAAATAAAATTAAAAAAGGATGCCAAAATCATTATCATATCTGTAAAGGGTAATCATGAAAGAATGTGTGACTGCAATATGTACAGAATTGCAGAGATTCAAATAAACTGATTATTGTAAAAGGTGACTTTTGATATTACATCAGTTCTTATACACACAGACAGTTTTGCTGTCAGTGTCCTTCGCAGAGGACAAATCTAATACAAAACTTCTGCTTTTCCTTTTCAGTGCACTTGTACTTGTCACTTACATTCTTGAAGCCCCTATAGAGCACTTGAAGCTCTCGTTTACTGAAGTTGGTTTGAGCTTCTAGCTGGTCGAGGCCCTCCGGTCGATGGCAGACCATGGTCATCTCCAAATCATCGTCTGCTTTGTCTAAAGCAAAGGCAGAAAAAAAGAAAACAATGTTACCAAACACGAATTTTAGTCCACAGAGATTAACGAAGAAGTAAGAGTAGTAGTAGAAGAAATTATATGAT